TTTTACAGTCGATCGGAGTCGGAATTTTCATTTGTATTAAAGAGCCAGCGGCACTCAGCTTCTTTTCTCGAGAGAGAGCTTTCCTGGCTCAGTCGAGATCCGCTTGCAGGGCTCATTAAATAAAACAGGAATTGCAGATAGATCAGGGCTCCCTTGGTCTCGGCCGTGGCTCGCGCGATTATTACCTCAATTTAACGATGTTTTCGAAGCATCTCGATGCCTACAAAAAATATCAGCTTGAAGTGGTGAAGCTTTTGCTGGCCGACGCGAATGTGACGTACGATTTGCAGGAGCTTATCTGTGATCTCGATGAAGTTATCATTTTTGAAACAGAATTTGCTCGGGTATGCTGCTAACTCAAAAAATACTTCAGAGATGCAGAAAACTAATTAAAAAACATTTTTATGTAATTGAAAATCAATGGATTAGAGGCGATCACAGAGGAATGAAAACGCCGCTGCGTCGCAGAGTTGAGACATTTCAATTGCTTGAACTGCATGTGCGTCCCAACATAATATGGGCAGTAATCGTCGCCCGCAGCACTTATATTGACGGCTAATATCCACTCGAAGTAGTTGTGCTTACTTTTTATCCATCTCGCATTGCATAACAAGTCGCTTACCAGTACACGGTACATAACTGCTGTATATTCTCTGACAAAGCAGCTGATCATTGAGATTTTGTGGCACATGTGATTCAGGTTGGTCAGAAATTCGTGCATGCTTAAAATGATTTTTTTTGCAGATAATAGTACCCGAAGACGACCGGCGTAATAGTACACGACTGTATAATAAGAAAGCGATCTCAGACTTGTATACGCTATTTCCGAAGGTCAGAACGCTTTTAATTGTTATGCGTTTTTGCATAATATGCAAAAATAGATGTTGTGACGACCCCGACCCCGGTGTTTGTGTGTGTGTGTGTGTGTGTGTTCGTCTGTGTGTATGTATGTGTGTGCATCTGTCCGGATATTTCAATTCGGCACACAAGCAAGCTCCGGCGCCAAAATTTTGCAAGTGGGTTCCATGGCCAAGTGCCATACTAAGACTGCGGTACCAACCCTTAAGCACGTCTTGGCCCCGCGTACGAGCGCCTCAGAGTTTTGGCGGGAAAATCGCTAACTCGAGAACCAAAAAAGCTAGAGAGCTGAAATTTTGGAATTATGTTTCCAGTCCAAGTAGAACTCAAAGATTTCAAATTCAGTCCCCGGGCGTTCGTGGTTCCCGCATATGGCCCGTGAGGGTTCCTGGTGCGAAAATCGCTAGCTCGGGAACCGAGAAAGCTGGGAGCCTGAAATTTTCAGGAAATGTTCCCAACTCAACTACAACTTAAATTTATTAAATTCAGCCCCCCACCTCCTTATGCGTAGTTGCCACATACGGCCCCGTGAAATTTTATGGCTAGGATTTGGGTAACTCGGGAACTGAAAAGGCTGGGAATTTGGGATTTCGAGGAAATGGTTCCTGTCCAAATATAGTGTGGATAATTAACTTCCTGAAATTCGAGGACCAGTATGCACAAGAGGTTTCTAGCTAGCGGAATTTCGAGTGATCTTATTGCAGCACGAAACGCTGCAAAAGCGCATGATCGCACGGGGCCGCTCCGTGCGCGTCGCCAATGATTTTTTTGTTGGCACTGAAATGTCCCACGATGAAATATGAATAATTGGCCAACGCATGGGCTGCCCGTGCTAAGATGCGTTTTTTTGCATAGTTCCCCAAGTTTTTGTTGCTACCGGCACCGGTTTTTCCGGCAAATGCTTATAGCTAAACAAATTAAGACTGGCCGCCAGAACTCTCAGAAAACACCCCCTTGAAATTTTAGCTTTCCAGCTTCCCTAGCTCCTGAGTTAGCTTAGTGGAAAAAAATTTTCATGGGCCCGTGCGAGTTTAACACGCATGCCCGAGAGTTAGTTTTGAGCTGAATGAAACTTAGGTGGACGGGGTATATCCTCTTCTAATTACAGTCCTTTAGCTTCTGAGATACTCGAGTTATCAGCTTGCCCGAAAAAAATTTTGGCGGTCCCGTACGAGGGTGCCACGCTTACCCGGGGGCTGGGTTTGAGCTCACTAATACCCACATGGACGGGAAACATCCTCCCAAAATTTCAGCGTTCTGACTTCTCAGATCCCCGAGTTGTGGACTTACTCGAAAAAAATTTTGGCGGGCTCGTACGCGGGTAATGGCGCCGATTTTGGGAATTGGGGCCCGTACGTACATGTAGATTAACTTCCCAAAGTTTCAGCCCTGTAGCTTCTGTAGGTCTTGAGATGAAAAACCGTGACAGACGCACACATGGACACATAGACACACAGACGCACAGACACACACACAGACAGCCTCTCGTCAATATGCGTTTTTCGCATTGCATAGCTGCAAAAAACGCATAAAAGGCACGGGACCGTTGCACTTTGATGTAGGTAGCATTACCAAATATTTGGTGGGCAGGGGCGAAAAAGATGAAAGATGTGTTATTCATGGTCAACGCCGGGTGAAAAACTGGAAACCGGGGTGGGGAAACTGCATTTACAGGGTAGCCTCAGCATAGTTTTTGCCCAAACAAAAAAGCGAGATGAGCTGTTACAGGATTGGCGACAAACAAAAGGAACTGTCGTTTAGCTCTTCGCATACGTACAGCAATGAACTGAGGTTTTTTA